ATCTGATACACACCTTCCAAGCACACACATTAGCCATGTTTCTTACAAAAACGATCTATTTTTTCACCCAAATTTATATTTGCCTACCTGTGTTTCATCCCAACACATATGTTCATTGCCATGTGTTAACCTGAAAGATACGCAACTTCTAGAAGTGATCTGCAGGTGTTTTCCTTCCCCATGAAAGAAATTGCCCTCTGTTGTAATACCCTTTTTTCCTGCTGCAGCCACAGTCTGGCTTAGAAATACAAAACATCCTCTTCACTGAATGAAACATAGATGCAGACCATCTGAATGAATAATCCAAATACACCTGGTATGGAAGAAATTAAGTTCAGTAAAAGTTCTAAATTCTACAAGGGACACCACACAGTTTTACAAACCTAGGAACAGAGCAAGATCTGGGACAGGACTCCTGCAAATGAATAGACTGCTTAGCTGAGCCATGGACTAGTTTAGCATTTTCTTTCCTGATGTTGCACAAAAAGACTTGAGTACACAAACCAAGGTTTTTTTTTTGCCTCCTTGAATCTCTCTGAGTTGGCAATAAGACCAAGCCTCAGTGTTCCTCAAGTAAAATCAAGAAAACATGTTTTTAAAGCGTACCAGCGTTTCCATTCCTTCACATTGAAAAAGAAACAGAGATGGAGAGGGAAAAAAAAGGAGCGAGACTGAAATGTTGAATGGTTTCCCATGGTATTTCTTAATGTCAAGGGAGGAAGGCGTTAAATAACTGGTGCAGGAGTGTTTCCCTTTGTTAGCACACATGACATCTGTGATTTTGCTGCTTGCTGAGATGTGGAATCCCTCCCAGTTGTCCCAGCAGCTCAGAGTCCTGACAGAGGAGGAGATGGAGAAAATAGCAAATGAAGAGCAGCTGTGATTTTTCAAGCATAGTTTCCAATTGTTCTGGATGCCCATAGCAAAAGCACCTTGATTTTTTGGCAATAACCAGCCTGAACATGTTTTCTCCAATTTGTTCCACGGTGTGACATGACATGTTAATGGAAGAAGGCAGCATGTCCATGCACACCAGACTGCTCTGATGTTGCCTGATCTCCATCAATACCCACCCAAGCCAAGTGCACAAAAGCTTTCAATCTTTTTCCATGAATCTTTTTCAGTCAGACTTCAGGACTTGCTTGGCTACACTCTAAGAGCTTATACTTGAGCCTGAGGACTGGATTTATGTGATGATGATCTCTTACCAAGACCTGTTAATGAAACAAAGGAAATGACCCCTCGGATCAGACCAATGAACATTTCACTCCATGTTTGCCCACAGTGGCAAATAGAGAGGATTCTAGCAATGGTGACAAAGGACAATCAATAACAGAACATCCTGGTCGTCCTGGAGGTTTGCTTTTGAATTCTTGCTTTGGAACTCATATGTATCCCATTCCACCGGAGTTTTCTCTTTCATTTAAAACAGGTTTAAAGACTATGGTTTAAAGAATTTGTATTTGTTTGATTTCTCTTACTGAAATCCTTCATTTCACAACATTTGCTCTCTCCTGCCTTGCTCATTTCTGTTAGATTCTTTAATTCATGCTGCCTATACCTTTGTTATGGTTCCTTATTCTGTTGCCATGCTGAAAGTAATCTGAATTTCTTCCTCTCTGCTTAACTCCTCAATTTGTCACATGCTTTGCCCTTTAAAGACCTGCTTTCAGAAAATCAGGTGGATAGTCCTGGTTCAGGCAACTAACAAACAAGAAAAGAGATTCTGCTATGAGGGTAAAGGCTTTAGAGAACGTGCTCCTAGATGACCAATGCCTTTTTTCAGTTAAGCAATATAAATCTAGGCATCTCTACAAACATGGACCATGTTACACCACTTAAAACAAAAAGGGAACAGGCACTTGCATCTTTAATCACTCATAATCTTTTAAGAGGATCTCCTTAACCCACCACAACTGTCCCGACATCCCATGCAATCATAAGCTGCTGCACTGGTCTTTGCTTTGCCCTGCTCAGAGCAGTTTCATTCAATTTTTTGCACATGGGATGAATTCTACAGAGAATCAAAGTTTGCCAGAAGGACAGATTTCTTTTGAACCTGGGATGAAAGAGAAGGAAGAGACTTTAGTGTGCCTCTGATTACAGCCACCATGACAGTTCATATGTGTAGCAATAAAAATAACTATAAACCTACCTAATCATTAAAGTAAAGCAAACAACTCCTCTCTGTATCATCATACACAGGTACTAGAGTTGTTAATAAACCAGGAAGAGCACTGAGGCACTGGAGGAGCATCTTTCCTATCTCCACAGTTTCTTAAACAACTTTAGAGGCGTATTTTTATTAAGTATATGCAAGGCAGATGATCTTAAACCTCAAAAAGAGTCTGTATAATAATTGTGTGCTCTTCTAATGCTCTCCAAAGACCTATTCAGAGTCCATTCTGAAAGACAATAATATATCAAGAACTTCTGCAAACTTCCTCCTAATGAACACATGCCAATTTGAGACCAAGAATTCTGGCCTCGGAGGACAAAATAACCACTACTCTTAGTCTCTGGGTGTTTTGCTACTTTATTTCAGAGTGATTCAAAATCTAATTAAATTTCTAAACTCTAATGAAATTACAGAAGAAAAATCATTTAGGATTATATTATATACAATTACTCACAGCTGAAAATTACAGTTAGCCTCTTTCACCAGGATAGGGTCTCCTGAGAAATCCTTGTTATTCATATAACATATAAATCTGACATCACTCCACTATTTACAGGTCGAAGGTAAAAGCAGAATTAATTAAACATATATATCCTGCCCAGTGGCTGGATGGTGGAGAGTAAGTAATAGAGGAAAGGCTGATAATGATGACTATGCTTGAAACCACATTCCCCAGTTTGGTCAAGAAACAGAATAAACCTATTGCAAAGCAGGATTTTATTAAGCCTGACTTATTCTGATCAGTGCTTTTCCTCACTGGAGGTATGCCGTGAACGAAACAAGTGAAACATACGTAGTCAGCAGTGTGCAGTCAGCTAGCTAAGCTGTCTGAAGCGTTTTGTGGAGAAGTAGCAACAGAATAAAACAAGCAGCTTTAGAAAGTTCAGCCAAATGCTTAGTTTAGATGTTTAGTTGCTTCTCTGAAGTAACGCCCCTGAGACCACTGGCTTGGGCCAGGGTAAATAAAAGAGAAAGGGAAAAAATAAAAAAGAAAGGGGGGAAAAGGCAAAAGAAAAAAACAGAGGAAAAAAAAGAAAGGGAAAAAGAAAGAGAGAGAGGGGACGGGAAAAAGAGAGCTGACATTCATACTATTCCTTCCACAAGTTTCTCAGGAACCTTAGAGCATGGGATCATTTGCAGATGAAACACATGAGGCATGAAAACATTGGGGGTTTCTTACAAGGATCTTCCCTATCTTGCTGGTGCAGAGATTCTTACTGGTTTTGGTGTTTTCAGCTCTGATCCCAGAGAGAACCAGGGACAATGAAAGGGCAAAAATGCATTACACACACATGCATGTGTGCACGCAAACACTGGTCCAAGTGTTAAAAAATACTTTATATCACATCTACTGCACTCAGCCACTTTTACCTATGCTTCATACAGCCGAACAGGCCAGGAAGTGAGGCCACCTCAGGGGCACATGGGTCATCTCTACTTATATTTTTAGTGCCTCAAGAGCCTTATTTGTTGGCTAACACAGTGTTTTGCTTAATCCTCCACAAACACCTGGTGGTCATAAATACAATTTTTCACTCACAGCCTGTCAGAACAACTAAATGTTTGTGAACATCTTGCTCATTTGCAGTCACATTTTTCCACCCAGGTAGCCATACTAACGCAGTCACTGGCATTCCTTATGGACTATAATGGTCCCATTAAAAAACACGTTTCTGGAAGGAGGCTTTATAACTGTAATTTACTCAGCAAGACAGATGTTTCATCCAGCCTTAAGATGCAAGATTCTGTTGAGACCAGATTGCTCAGACCAATAGCAGGAAAAATAAGCATCCAAGAGTTTTCTCTCTGAAAACCTCTCACTTAAAATGTGTTTCAGATTACTTTGATTGGTGTATGTAAGTATCTACATGAGATGAAGACACCAGACAGCAAGGAACTATTCTAAAGCAGGAAGGTACATAAAGAGGCAAGAAGTAAAAGCAATAGAGACCCTCCACAGAAATCTGCTGCAAAAAAAGTGGGGCTCATGTTCTTTGAGTCTTGCTTTTCTGAAGGATGGACCTGAAATGAGTTGGGAGGAATGAGTTCACTTAGCAAAAAGGGCTAATATACTTGCATGCTTTGCTGTCATTCATTTTTGGAACAGGTTAACCTGTTTGAAAGATGAATTTTCCTGAAGAAGAATCTCTTCTTTGATTGTGGTTCAAAGAATAAACTTGACTTCTATCAGAAGCATTACCTGCTAGTAAGTTCTTACTGTTTAGTTCCTACTACGGCAGGACATTATTTTTAGTTATAAGGTCTTTTCCAGGAACTGGCTTGCAATGGTTTTGCAGCCATGGCAGATTTCTTCCACTCCGCTCCTAAAAAAGCTGATTATGAAAGGGAAATGTTTAACCAAGTACTCCTCTCCTCTAAATGTTACAATGGCATTCATGTTGAATTTAAAAAAATACTGCAACATTGATAGAGATTGCCTTAGAAGGTTTTCCTTCTAAGATAGAAAATCCACTTGCATGTCCATGGATTTAGAAGTCATGAGCAAAGACCAATTACCTGTGGTAGGACTTCTTCAATTTTTAATAAATAGAGGTTAGTGTTTAAAGGTACCTTAGAGAGCAAAGCAGCTGAACCGGGCTGTGACTGTTCCTGTCCACCTCTTCCACAGAACAGCTTCAAGTGGGGAATTTATTTATATGTTTAACTGAAACCCAGAAAGGGGAACTCCTGTTTGCAGATGCAACTACTCAGGATGTGGCTGAAGTTTCCCAGTATAGTCACATGACCTGCTTTATGTCTGGGGTTGGTTTTGTTTGTATTCTTTTTTTTTAAGAAGACACTGCAGAAGAGCTAAATTCAGAAAACTGGGTGAAACTTCTGTGTCAAAACTTCACAATGACCTTCTTAACACGCTGGGTATCAGTGCTACTGGCATTTCTTCTCTTACGTAAGTCATCTATCATATTTCTTTTCAATCCTTTTTGAGAGCTTTTTCTTTTCCCTGAGCGTGGTGGGATTATTTATTTCCCAGTCTAGTTTTATGTATGAAGTTTAAAACTTTGTTTAGAACTCTGCTTCTTGGAGAGAACATTTTTTTGAGACAGTGAGGTATTTTGCTGAGTTTTCTCAGCTAGCATTTCCTAGACTGAGTGCTAAAGGGTCTGCTGTGTGAATCCAGAAGATACCGTGAACTTCACTACCTGCATCCTTGCAGGTTAGATGGCAGAGTTGCTGAACGTCCTGTTTGGCACTGTATAGAAAATGGTACTTCAGTAGAGTATAAGAAAAAATTTGATTGACGTGCATGTTATCTGCAAGTCAGTTTTGGTCTTTGCAACTCTCACTCACAGAACTGGATGCTTCTGACTCATTCTGCTTCTAATGCTTCCTGCCAGCCCAAAGCATGGCTTTCTCACAATTTGCTTGTTATTTCACAGTTACTCACATCCAATTTGTGCAGGGAAGAACTGGGGCTCATGGATAGCAAGTGTCAGCAGGTGTCATATTAACACTGGGATTAATGTGGACTAATGGGGAGGATGAGGCTGGCAGCAGACACAAAGGCAGAAGTTTACAGTGGTTACTGAGGTCTCTGAGATGTTAAGTAAGACTCATCTTTACCTAATGAACACCTCCCATGCTACCCTACTTCATGCAGAAATTCATACAAAATCATCATCTACTCTTGGGGAACCCCGCAAGGGCAGTTTGCACCTGCCTGAGGCATACAGACTGCTTGCATCCACTGGGCACCTGATCCTGCCTCAGCTTCTGTGAGCAAAGCTATCCATAGATGTACAGCAGTGCTTTATCCTCTTGTAGTCCTTCTCAGGGTACACATAGAATGTTGTTGCTCTCACTATTCTATTTATTGGCCTTTCAAGCCCTCTGCACCTTTCTATTGACACTTCCAAGTCTCCAGAGAAATGGAAACTGTCCACCACACAGGACATAGATAATCAACCAGTCTCACAGATGTGGAGTCAGCAACATCTGCTCTCCAGTTACTGACCAGTTACTGCTCACCAGTGAAATGACACAAGTCCCATTAATACAGTAGAATTTGCTTAGAGCAAAGAGATGCAGAGTCAAGGACAGCACAACATGTTCCATAGCAAAAGGCACTTTGCAATAGATAAAAGGAAAACACATTAACATGCCTCCAACTGACACATGGAAAGGTGCAGGCAATCTATGGATGGAGGGGTGCCTGGCAAAGACTAGCGCTCAACAATTTCTGTCTCCATGGAAGAGTGATTCCTGTCTTCATCTATTGCTACAGAGAAGGATTTTGCCTCTAATTTGAGGACCAAGGGAGGACCTAATTTACCTGGATGCCAACAGTGCCTATCTTATGAAATTCATATGTAGCTGGGAATTTTGCTACACTAAATACCAGCTAAAATACTTCTTTTAATAAAGCTTTTCATGAATGATGTCCAGCAGGCTCATTGCCAGTAACCTCTTTGTTGCCGTGGGCATTCCTTATCTGACTGGAACTGCTCAGACACCCGCTGTGAGCCACCCTTTTTTACAGCCTACCTTAGGGTTCCCCAGATACTTGCTTCCTTTCCCATTTGCTGCCCCAAAGAGAAATGGTCCTGAACGCCGGGCTGCTGCAATGCCACAGGAGCAGCCATTGTGTGCTGCAATGAGGAGAAATCTGAGATGGGGAGGAAGAAAGAAGAAAGTCACATGGAAGCAGGAGGCAGTGAGCAAAGGGACTAAAGCAAGTGCTGTGCACTGAGAAAGGCGAGGCACATACTGCCATTTGTCCCTGCAGGTTATGGCTGGGAGTTGCTCACAGTATCTAATAAGGTGGGAAAGTGAGCTATTCCTGTTCCCTGATCTTATGCGCAAACTGCATTCTGCACCACTTTCCTCACTGCACTGACCTATGGGCAAGGCACCTCGTGAGCACAGTTACATTGCAGAGGCCACAGAGAGAACAGGGTGTCCCCCAGTACAGCTCAAAAGCTGTTTTCTACTTTGCCCAGTGTTGTGTGCCATCTGAGGAGGGCTAAACCAGCCCAGGGATACACTGGGATCACAGACCAGGGCTCTCAGCCCAGTCCCAGCCTGGTGTATTTATTTGCAGGTCCACTACCTTATCAGGAGCTCTGTTTTGGAGGAGGTAGCCACAGTGGCAGAGGACTGTAGCAAGCAGGCACAAATAAAAGCTTCCATTCTGCAGCCAGTTAGAGATGCAGCCCGCACCTCTCACCAGCTTCCTGGTGCGGCCAGGGCCCTGGAGGGCACATTCTGATTATAGTGCCAGTTGTGTGCTATGCCTGAACCTGGTACATAAGAGAGGTGAGAAAGCACCATCAGTTACTTTAAGACCCTTTGCAAAATGGTCCATGAGTCACTCAAGTATAGATACCTCGTTCACCTGCAAGTCTCTTCCACCCAGAAGCAAATATTCTGCAAGTCCAGAGGGCTTGTTCAAGATGCGGGAGTTAGTCTAAATACAGAGATAAGGGGTCAGAAAGCTAGCACTGGGACTAGAGCACTCCAGAACTTAAGGCATTTCTAACCTCTCTGTAGCAGGAAGTTTGTGTACATCCCCAAAAGATCTAAATTGAAGATGGGATCTGGGTAAAACAGCAACACGTGTGTTTGATTTAGTCAACCCACTTCCTTTCATCTAAGAAGAACCTGAAGCAGACAGAAGGCATCTAACACAGTCCTCACCAGCAAATTGTGTTTAAGTAGCACCCAGTAAACAATATTAAACCTTAATTAAAACCATATTGAAAATATGAATTGGAAGTGTTCTCTCTAGTCCTGTGGGTTTTCAGAGACTTCCCTTCCTCCCTTTTAAAAAAGAAACTAATAATTTAATTTCAATATATTAAACTGACCTACATAAAATATTCCATGTAAAATATTATTTCTGCCATAAAACACATAATCTGTCACTGGTTTAATTCCATTAGAAAGCATACATTAAGGTCTATGTATAATGATCCTTAGGATAATAAGAGTATTACAATATCACTTCTATTATATTTGAATTTAAAACATTCTTCATATGAGCACAAAGAATAATTAAAGGGATGGAGGAAAGGTGGTTTCTTCTTTTTTAATTTATAATGAAATACATTCACAGGCGAGAGCAAAGAGACTGGTTTTTAATCTGGAAATTCAGGAGCTTTTTGCACCCACGATATAGTCCTAGATTTTTTCTTTTTTAAATTTCCTTCTCTTTGTAACTTTGATTTTGGTCATTTGGGATAGCAGTTTTTGTGATCATAGCTGCAATTGGATTCCCCAGCCCTCCCAGCTCCCTTCTCTGGCTGTCATGGGGGTTTTGGAGAGAAAACATTTCTGCTTGTATAAAATAAGTTTCCAGACATTTTAATTATGAAGAAAAATTTGGCAAAAAAGGACTTTCAGCTCAGAATTATAGTTCCCAAAATATATTTGCTTTAAAACTCAACATTTCTTTTTTTAAGCTTGTCTCCAGATTTTTGAGGTTTGGATTGTAATTTATGAATATTTGGGATTAGAAATGTGATTAAGACCAGGAAATGAAAACAAATCTGTTGTGAGACACACAATATATCAGATATTTCTGACATAACCATGGAAGCCTCAGAGCCCACACTCAGCTCAAGAGTTTCAGCAGTGTGAAAAGCAGACACAAGATAGATTTCTGTAAAGGTACCAAAAAGGCTGGTTTTGGAGTGGGAGGACTGTGCTTCAAGTTTAAAAGTAATTGTATTTCTAGTGTTCGTTTTAAGGGACAAGAAATAAAAGCACAGCTCTCCAAACCTCAAGAAGCATGCTGTTTTAAAATGCAGGAGTCATATCTGCATTTAAAGCCTTCTCATTCCCCAGGCACCTCATGCAGCTACACATCAGTTACATCATTTGAAGCTACTAGTAAAGACTTCGGTGGAAATATTCCCATAGCTGAAAAAGAAAATTTGAGTGTACATTTTTAGCCATTTCCTATAATAAGCAAGCAACATTAAAACTAAATGTAACCTCTCCTTTCTCTTAACTTCTTTTCTTTTTTGGAAAATTTTGAATATTTCCTCAAAAAAATTATTTGGGAATTAATTGTTTTCTTCAGAGCCACTCCATGCTGAGGGCCTGCAGACTTTGAGCATCAGGCAGCAAAGCTCACTGCTTTATGGAGAAGGAAAGGGCCAGGATAGCGTCCTTTTGATGAACAGGGAGCATGGCATGGGAGTCTCTGAAAAGGTTGCTTCCAGCCCAGAAGATTCTCTCGCAAAAGACTCTCTTGTCTACCAGCAATAAATCACATTTTGAAGCCTGGAACTATAAGAGGGACTGGCTCACAAATTTTCTGGAGAGGGGTGCTGGGGTGTGCTATATTCTCTCTTGCTAGCATGTCATTAGATTTACTGCACTGATAGTCTTTTTCTTGATTTATAGCAACTTTCCTTGCATACAGCTTCCAAGCTTGCATGGAGGAAACTCTGGAATAGGAACAATACTAACATAACATAAAATATAAAAATTCTGTATTTTCCATTCTGTCCAAAACCCGGCATGTGGTGCCCACATTCCTAGGATGCCCTTATTAACTTGACTGATAACTATTCACTACTGCAGGAAGCCTCAGATCCTTTCTTAAGTTTTACCAGGATCAACCAGATAAGGCATTCTTCTTCAATGTAGAGTATTCTCCTTGATATCCTAACAGGACAAAATGTTTCCATTTCAGATTTTTGGAGAACAAAGGTTTATGCTTCTGGAAACTCAGAGGAGGAAATAGGTGAGTCCATGGTGAGAGTTGTGCTTCCAGACAGGAAACTAGGGGCAAAGAAATAACAGCAAAAAATAATGTGCTTAGAAGACTTTACATACTTGTTATGTGTAGAAGATAATCACCTGATTGCATGTTTGTATTTTGCCTAGCACAGCAAACTCCTGCTGTATGACTGGAGCTTTTAAAGTACTTTTGAATAAATACAATGAGCATAGGGAGGACAGATCCTGAGCGCAGGCCCTCAATACAGGCATTCTCCTGCCTGACAGGTGGAGCTGGTCCCTTATATACAAACAATGATGAAAAAAATTAATCACAAAATTGTGCCTAATTTACACTAAAAAATTCTCCTGCTTCCTCTCAGTGGGGATTTACAGAGGCAGAATAGTTGGGTAGGGCATAAGGCTGGGGAGTGGGAGGTGGAGATGAAGATATGTGCATGCAGCTATGGGAAGCAGGAACGAGTTTGGCAGGGTACAAAATGACAAGGAAGTGAGAACAGGGAATTTCACTTTTAGGGGGTGAGGGAAGTAAAACCCCAGTGTATACTCACTGATTTGTTTTCAAATCTGTTTGCAGATTTCACATATGTTATTATAGGAGTTACTCTGGGAGCGTTTCTAGCAATTACTTTTGTAGCAGTAATAATCTGCATGATCAAAAAACAGATGATTGACAATGTTTTCAGAGGTAAGAAAAATACTACTGCTTTCTCAGTCAGAGATCTAGATCTCCTTATGTTCCAATACAGCAGATCTGCGCTTCAGTGTTAGGAATTATGAATGTGCCACAGCTCTAGTTTTCCTCTGAAGAACTATTTTAAAAGGTGTCTGAAGTGCTGGAGTCCCTGGAACTGCAGGTTCACATCTTGGTGTAACCAACTCTGCTCTTTAATCCTATCAGAGAAACAGATTCACTTCAGCATACTGCTTAGGTATCTTCTAGAATAACTAATTTTTAAACAGAATTCTGTCTATTTAACATAAGTTAATGAACCTGTTGCATCTGCAGAATGGGCAAGAGGCTTGCTTACACTTCCTAATCAAAATTACTATATATTTCACTGATTTTGGACTTTTCTTTCAAATGCCACTGGCTCTAAGATACGCAGTTTCCATCAGAGTACATAGAAAACTGTAAGTTTCTCACTGCAACTGGTTTTCAAGTTGTTACAAGAAAGCACCTTTTTCATCTGAAATGGGCAAAGGCTCTTCGATCTAAAATCATAACTGCTGGTAGTAACAGTTCCTTTTGAGTTCATACCAGCAATTTACAACCCATATTTTTGGATTCAAAACCAAAATCTTAAACTGAATATGACCATCATTTCAGTAGACAGAAGTTAGTGACAGGCAGAATTTGTCCCACTGCCCTGCATCCTCAGATACAAATACTATGATTTCTTCCACTGCTGAAATACAACTGTCATGTGTGAAATAAAGTTACAGCACACAATAACACTCAGCTGCAATTAAGAGCTAGAAATAAAGAGCATAGCACATAAAATAACAACAGTTTGTGGCAAATAAGGAAAATTGAAGTCCTGGCAGATTGACTGGAACTTCTGTGTAGGTTTTTCTTTTTTGCAAAAGAAGATCTCCGAAACTTTGCTAAGGCACATCTTTGCAGCCTATGTTTTGCTTGTTAAGAGAGGTCTGTACTCTTAGGAGTACATGAGAATTTGGCTTAGAAGGAAACCATAGCAGAAATGGAAGCAGTGAGGCAATCTCATGTAATACGTGAGGAAATAATCCTTACTGAAAGAGGAACTATAAAAAGAGTTTGGGGACTGAAAGCCTTGCTTTCTGTATGCCATAGAATCATAGAATGGTTTGGGTTGAAAGAGACCTTAAAGATCATCCAGTTCCAACCCCCCTGCCATGGGGACGGATGCCATGGTGGATTTAAAAGTCTCCATGTTGAAATTCAAAAAAGCACCATTACAGCTCTGGTTGCATGCAAAATGTCAGTTTTTGCAGTCCACTTAAAAAAGTAATAAAAAATCATTTATTCTGATAAATTCCACCATGAAAAACATCCAAAATATTAGCAGAGATACAGGTCTGAGAAAATTGACGTAAGATATTATAACTGGAAGAAGCAAGGACTTTAGGAAGGTTGCATGACACTACTAGTATCAAAGAGCTTTGCCTCAGAAAGAATGGGTTGATCTTATCAGCTACGACTATGTTCTGGTTGCATCCGCATAACTTCTGAGGAAGCCTATCACCATTTTGTTCCTGGTTTCTTAAGTAATCGTATTTTCCTGTTGTCTTTTTAGAATCAGATGCCAACCTGGATAGAAGGTAAGAGTCATTGTCCCATGCATTTTTTGAGGTGGTACGATGCACAAACTGTAATGCTTAACTTCTCTCTTTATGCATGATGTTTCCCCACAGCTGTGATTTGAGTAACACATAACACACATGAAAGCATGTAGTGGACTACGCAGTAGTAGTAGTAGTAGTAGTAGTAGTAGTAGATACGCAGTGTATCTAGTGGATCTGTGTGGAAAAAGGAAATTTCTTGTAACATGGTTTTGACATTTCAGAAATAGGAGGGAAATCACAGCAGACTGAGATTCTTTTTAAAAAGAAAATCTTTCAAACGCTTTTGATTAAGCTTCTTTTTTGTGTTTGTACTATGTATTAGAATAGCAAATTCATTAAAAAAAAAAGGCATTTTTAAGGGATGATAGCCAAAAGCCTTGTTTCAAAAGCATTCTTACAGGCCAAGGTCATGCAGTGATCATTCCTGCTGGAAGCAATGTATTTTTGATCTTCACATGCTTTCCCCTAACCTAAAAACAACAAGACCATTTCAGATTTTGAGCACATGATGGACTCACAGGTAGAAGAAGCAGTGCTAGACTGCTTAGTCAACGGCTACTCCTCATCTTCTTCAAGGACCAGCAATAAGGTGGAGATGTACAGGAGCAGGGAATTTGGGCTGCTAGTTATCTCTTGACTGATGGCAATCTACAGATACTTCTTTTGTGTCCCTTTGAGACATTTTATAAGTGACAAAAAAAAATTAGACATTAATTAATCAGCATTTTCATGAACTGAAGGCAACAGCTGTACTCAGTGACCTAAGAAATGGCTTTTGGCCTCCCTGAGACAGCTGGATAGAAGGATGTCCCTGTCACAGTCATTCTTCATAAAGAGAGCAAAACATCTCTTGCTTATTTTGTTGCTGTTACACTCAATTAAAGATCAAAGCAAGGGCACCCCTTGCAGCAAGTACTTCAATATTTTGCCTGCCCAACAGAGAAAGGCAAAGCACCTGTTATTTTACCAGGGAGAAACTTCCCCAAACTAACACAACTGTCACAAAAATGTTTCCAGTAACACACTATTCTCTTATAAGACACTGAAAAATTCTGTGTATTAACCTAAAATAGATTAAGACTATTATCTGGCCAGAGAAACAAAACCAGAATGCCCAGTAAACTTTCTGGTGTATTGATGGTACAGACAGAAAAATGATGGGAAGGGCATGATAAAGAGCCAAGACAAAGCAGAAAAGCCAGAGACCAGAACCAAGAGAAAAGGAAATAAAAGGAGAAGAGGCACAAAGTCAAGATCAGAAACAGAAGGCAATAAATTTACTGCCTGAGTGAAATGCAGATGGTATGATAGATCAGACAATGTATGAACTGCTCCTTGTTTTCTGCATCCCCTTGCTGCTTATAATGTGTGATATTTTCTTTTGAGACAGTTTGAACATCTATGATACCATTCTCTGATCTTTCTAGGGAAAGCGACTGACTTTGTCACACATCAAAATTTTACATCTTTAAAGATGACCTTACATTGACTCCAGCCTACAAGCATTTGCTAAAAGATAGAGTGAAGTTTCCAGCTTCACGCCAAAATCCTGGTTTTAAGGCTGGAAATATGACACAATACTCAAACTAGCCTTAGAGCTACTGACACTCACCAGTTAAAGAAGCCATAATTCCAGACTGTCTGAGGGCAAAACTATGTATATTAAATATTACAGTCACAGAACCATCTTGAATCACTCAGAATGCAGGGAACCTGAAACCCACAGTGATAATTAAGATCATCTCCAAGTCATTAGGACTGGAGTCGAGAACTGGTGTATCTTCTGCAGACAACTTCATTGTCTCTTGACCAGTTACGATTATTAGTGTTCGTTCAGGAATAAAACCTTAATCTAACTGATAGAGCACTGACCTTTAGCCAAATTTTGTTGTAAACTTCACCTCATTATTCCCTCAAGAGCCTCAAGCCCTTTGGTAATTTCTCTCCCTAGCTGGGATATACTCTGAGTACTTGTCACCCAGCACAGTACTATCATAGCCAAAGCAGTTGTTCAACCTCATACTAGTTGAAGGCCTTGATGCAGATAATCTTTTTTTTTATGCTAGAACCCCAATTAGCTGGTACTGAACCTAACCAACACATTGCAAGGACAGGTTTCCACTAAAATCAGGAAGCATTCCGATGTGTCCCCCTTGATACTTTCCCAAACACTTAAAACAGAAGTGCTTCTACACCCACATGACACTGACAGCTCATTGTGAAATAATTAACAGCATTTACAACTTTATTTAGTCAGGTATATAATGTTAAGATTTAAATAATCAATTCATAATGGGATGCCCTTAAACTCAATGGGATATTTACTAACACTTGAGAAGAGAAAAAAGCTTGAGGCAAGCTTCTGTCAGCTAACAAAACAGTAATTTAGATGTCAACTGACAATTATTTAATGTCCTCTATTTTAATTAATAGCTCATGTCAGTTTCAAATGCCATCTTGGTGTAAGCTTGGTAAATTATAATGCCTAAAAATTTCATGCAAGTTTAATGTATTAATAAAAATGTCTGGGCACATTTATTACTAGCAGTATTTTGAGTTAACTACAGTGCATGGCAGCCAGATTTATTTTGACAGGAGACAAAAAAAGAGACATACAGAGACAAGGAGAAGAATGGAGAGAGAGAATGTTTACTGAAAAGGCAAAAGTACATATTTTAAACCTACTGCAATAGCAAAAAGGAATCTGTTGCTTCAACACATCCTGGGCAACAGCACACACCAAAACTCCCCATGCCACTCATTGGGTTTTACAGACCCCCAGATAAATCACTCATTAGGAGATCAGGTTTTAAATGCAATGTACAAGTCATTCTGGTGTTTGATGGAGGAGAGGAAGAGCTTGGAAGGTGCATCAGCCAAGTGCCAAGCTTATCAGTCATTTTCTCTTGCTACCCAAAGCAGCATCTAGATGTCCTCTTCTCTTGTATTTTCCCCACTTGACTTCTTGCAAGGGACCGACTTCTCTTTCCTTGCTAGACTATGCTTAGGGCACACAAGGTACTCTTGAGAATCAGAACATTCTTTAGACGAATGGAGGCAGGCTTGGAACATTATCACATGTTGCAAGTCTTCAGTCTCCTCATTGCCTAACTCTAAAACCAGCACCATGGTAATACACTAGGTGAAATCATCCACTTGGAAAATATAAACATCAGAAGTGGCTGGCATAGCAAAGGGGCAATCACATGCAAGTTTGAATGTTGAGCTGCTGTTCCTTCCAACTTCCATAACTGCCTTGGCCTAAACATTTGAGCCAAGAACCTTTTTCCTAGCATTTTGTCATGTTCAGATCTGTAGCCATCTGCACTTACAGGCAGACAGTGAACAGGATCTGATCTAAAAATTTCGTATCCTTCAAACAGGTTTAAAGTCAGATAGAAAGACAAATCTTCTGTTTTAGAGAGGAGAGCATCTCCTTCTGATGTAAATAGTCCAGACTGGTCTGCACCATTTACCAAACAGGAAGCCAGTCAAGCAGGCATGAGTTATATCACTGATACTATTAGCCACAAATGAGAGACACAACTTGTCTAATCACTGGAGGCTGAGCTCAGAAGTAAACTTAACTGGAGACCTAGTTTTGATGCTAGAGGTACTTGAGAGCTCCTCAAGAGTGTGTCCTTTGGAAAATGGGCCCAAAATTTACAACTAAAAATCCACACATATTGAAAGAAAAGAGATTTTGGCCTTGTCTGAACATGTCATTGGAAGAGTGATGCACAAGAAAAAAGGATCGTGTTCTAGAAACACAGGTTGCACAGGACACTGGGCATTGAAATGCATTACAGTGACTCAGATACTGCATCAGCTATTCACAGGTAACACTATACATTTGATCTGCAGCCAGGGAGCAATACTGTCTCAGACACTCTACTATCCATTGAAATTATATCTGCTTAAGATGCAAGAACATACTGCTGCTCTACTATAAGCGAGTTCAATGGCAAAAATAATTGAAATAGCATGGTGCCAAAAATAACTCTGCAAAGAAATTATTGTTATACCGTTTCTATTCAGAGCGACTAAGATGTCCTTTCCACAAAAGATTTTTATACGAAGACAGCAGGAAACAGGGGCTGGTATTGCTTGTTTTAAGCCATGCTACAACTTTTGTGAGCTTTAATTACTTTTCAATGAAGTAATTTCCTCCTGTGTAAACACGTCAGACTTGGAGACGTTTTCTTTCACTGACCTGACTTTAAGAGGACGTTTTTCCCAGCAGTAAGGGAAACAACTGGAATGAGGCTAGTTCATTCTGCACTAGAATGAGGCTAGTTCATTCTGCACATTTTGTTCAAGCTATGGGCTTCCTGCTAAGACCACCATGAAGAAGTAAACAGGATTTGTTTGGACACCTTTGCAGAGGGAGATTAAATCTATGACATATTACACACTGAATTATCTATCACTACAAAGTACTAACAAACATTGTCAGCTGCAGCTGTGGACATGAAGAAGCACAAATTTTCCTAAGCATAAACCTATGTCTGTCATATGCCCCCAGGAGATGGGCACTATAGCATTCTATCTTTACCTGCAAGATTACAGCCTGTACCTTCCAAGTTTCTGATTGCTTAATCTTGCTCCCTCATTTGCTACCAGTTATCACTTTATCTTTCTGATTCACCTCTTTCAGCACATGGGATGCAAGTAACAAATACAGGCATAAGGAAAGGAATTTGTTAAGCACAGTCACTACTATTCTGAGAAAAGCTTTCGAGTGTTACCAGTCTTACCAGAAGAGCAAATATTGGTATGAAATGGTTTGGAAAGGTGGCATAGTCTTTTATGAAGAGTCCCAGCTGCTTGGTCTCTTCCCAGCCTGGTCTTCAGACATGTAACAAGGGAAAATCCTCATCCAAAAGATGGTGCCTAATGGAATAGAAGAGGCAAACCTGTTATTGGAAGCCATCCAACACCACTGACACTAGATGTGGGCAGTCCTTCCTGAGTGG